GGTCGGCATGCCATTTTGATCCACTCAGAAATATTGAGTGGTGCACTGGCGCAAAAAGCCAGCAAATCCAACAGGTTAGTCAACGGTTAGAATTCAGTCAAACTCAGTCTCCTGGTCCTCAAAGTTAGGGCTTGAAATGGGACGGCGTCCATTTCCGGAACACTAAATCATTGCCAACTCCCCGCTGTTTTGCGGACAGGCTTTTGCATCAATGGTTTTGGTTGAGGATCACAAGCGTCCTGCTGTCTAGGTCTAGGCATCTTGGCATTATCTCAGCCCACATGCAACCATGACAATTTCCACAAACGCTAACTAGATCCTGCAACAGCCGTTGCGCAGATTATCATGGGTCATCTTATCTGTTGCATAGAGCAGGGCGAGTAAACGAAAACATGCTACTATTGGCGCCTCTCTTCTTTCTTTTAAACCTGTTTCCGTTATTCCCATCCCGACACATATCACTAACCTTCCTTCTATAATTCCCAGCTTAATTGCCAACAACCGAAGTGCCACTGGCGTCACAGCTCTCTCCATTTTGAGGCTGTGTTCTGAAATGCGATCACGTCCCTCAGTCTTTTTGGTGTTGCTCTGCGTGGTAGCACGTTCAGTTCGTGATATGATGTGTCTTTGACGGCATTAGAACTGCAGTCGTTGGGAGCATCAGTGGAAATCACAAACAACCAACGTTTTGTACTATTTCGTGAATCAACCTTTGTTAATGTCGCCAAACGGTCTGCACACAAACAGCTGTTCACCGGAATCCAATGAGGTAACCATGACTCAGCTTTGGAGCTACGAATGATACTTACCCTAGCTTGACGCGTGAGTGCTGCATCAGCGTCTCCGGACGCGTGCAACCAATACCGGGAGGACAAGCCGGGCGCAGTTAATTCAACAACCCCATTAGTGTCATTGATCCTAGTTTCGGCCACAAAACATACCTCAATACCCAGTGTGTCCAACGTACGTGCGAGTGCAGCCTGTCGATCTACTCATCATAGAGTGCGAATGTTGAACATCGCCAGGGAACTTGACAGCGTGGCCTTATAATGGACAGGTTGGCGATAGGCGTCCGGTGGGTGTTGCGTGAAGGTAGCTGCAGATGTTGTGACTCCAGTGGCACTTCTGTTGCTGGGAATTAAGCTGGGAATTATAGAAGGAAGGTTAGTGATATGTGTCGGGATGGGAATAACAGAAACAGGTTTAAAAGAAAGAAGGGAGGCGCCAGTAGTAGCATATTTTCGTTTACTCGCCCTGCTCTATGCAACAGATTAGTCGACTCTTGATAAGCTGCGCAACGGCTGTTGCAGGATGTAGTGAACGTTTGTAGAAATTGTCATGGTTGCATGTGGGCTGAGATAATGCCAGGGTGCCTAGACCTAGACAGCAGGACGATTTTGGTCCTCAACCAAGGCCATTGGTGCAAAAGCCTGTCCGCAAGACAGCGGGGAGTTGGCAATGATTTAGTGTTCCGGAAATGGACGCCGTCCCATTTCAAGCCCTAACTTTGAGGACCAGGAGGCTGAGTTTGTCTGTCCTGTATCCTTTGACCATCTTGTTGGAAATATTTCTCATGTAGTCTGGAGACCCACCGAATATTGTTTAATGGGTCGTCGAGGATCTTAGACGGTTGCCTCACCTTAATTCCCATCTCTTTTTTACGATTTTTATGCTGTGTCTACTTTACGCCTTAACGGCGCTTCGCTGCCGTCTACATGCTTATTTTGCGCGCCGTCAGTGTATACCGCGAGGACACACACTGCTATGCGTATTCGAACCGGTGGCCTTATTTTTGCAAAGCAGACGCCCGTTCTACTCGGTCTTCGACGGAGTATGCATTGAAATCTAAGCAAACTTGAATGGATTGGCGGCAATATTCTGCGAAGGTTACATTGTTAACAGTTGTCCTTTATCAGAATAGAGGAAAATAGTTGACCTAGCAATAGACGCATCAAAAAAACACCATGCTGAGTTGGGTGTAAGCGTGAACTCTAGAATCCGCCGAAAGAAACAAATGGACGGGGATGGCTTTTTTGATGTATTGATGATATATCAATGGGCTAAAACAAAAAACATTTTCTATCGTGAACTCTTTGACTGAAAAAATGCTGTAGATTGCTGCAAATTCATGACTGCTTTTCTTACACCGGTAAATCAACTTGATTATGGCTGTGGTTGTTCGCTTAGCACATTTGGAAAAGATATAGAAAAAGAGGATTTCCTTGTCGCGAGGAGAATATTGTAGTCTTTTGTGAAAAATGCAGCAGAAGGCAATAATAACAACACTTCTGAACTTTTGTATTTTATACAGAAATATTAGCTTTTGTATCTGCTGCGCATCTTTCGTACCGGAACTATTAGCGCAGCCTGCTGTGAGAGTGCATTCTTACAACTCAATTTTACAACGAACTGCCTTCGATAATCGATTATCCAGACAAAGTTCACGGATTGGTAGTTCTCTTCCAATAAGGAAATTTGCTAATGGACTGCATTCGTTGGTCTTATCAATATTATTACTCCAAATAATGTATGAAATATGTATCTGCAAATATTACTCACGAGTATTGTAAGAATACAAATACCTGCATTTACGGCAGTACTTTAAATTTGATCTTCCTTGCTATGTGAAGTCAAATACATAAGATTTGTTCGCAATTGTATGGGTTTGCGAAGTTACAGCTGTAAGGGAGCGGCAATTTCACGTACGCTTCGGGCGGGAAAAGTAGTTGCAACGCCAAAAGACGGGATATTATTCCTAACTCATGTTACGTAATTTTATATTACTCGTGAGTGGCAGAATTTTAGATGTAAGCTTTTTAGGTATCCATCCCATTAATCCCCTACTGAGGATCGAACCCATAATCGCTAGAGTCAGATGCCAACTAGCCAGCAGCTTAAGCCACTGAGTTATGGGGGACGTTTGCTGAGCTATATAATTTGCAAACCAACTGGGATATTGCACCACCTATCTACCACTGTCACTGATACTGGCTAGCCTGAGAGGTGAAAACGCCCGCTCGCCAGACGCTACAACCATAGCATTTGGAAATAGCAGAGGCTATTTCTACTTTATATTACTCGTGTAGAATCAAATAGAAGAAAAATTTACTCCCTACAAGTACTACTGGTCTATCTATGGAGATTTATCACAGCTTCAATGGGATATGTGGATATCATACAACAGGCAAGCATAGGACGGCCACTTTTACTTAAGGAGAATGGCAGTAATTGGTGTCTTGAATAAATCTTGGAGATTTCCTCCCTGAAGCTGATGAACACTGCAATGTTGTTGACTCTAAAATATTCAACTAAACAAGTTCATTTAGAGTGATTCTGGGAAAGCTTTTTCCTTACACCTGTGTCACATTAAATCGAATTCTGCAGTTGCTGTTGGTTCCGTCAAGTACTCTGTTCTGGTTCAAAAAGTTCTGTAATGTAAACGCTCCCGGTAACTCAAGCTTCGCCAATCTAAACTTTGGTGATAGCGACGGTATTATGAGTGGAACAAGCATAGTGTAGGGATGCGGAATGCAAGGACCACACCGAAGACGGGAAAATCATGAAATCGGGAGAATGGAAAGTGGTACTGACATAGAGAATGAGGTCATAAAGCGCAAAGCAAACTTCATGGAACTGTATAAAAACGAATCAAAAACGAGAAACGATAGCAGAATTTCGTCAATGGGAAGAGAACAGATATTGATGGAAAAATCAATGTATGAGACGGATAAGATTTCGAAAAGCAGGGAATGGAAACCAAAATCTTGTGTGCATACATTTCGTATCGTCACCTCCACACCATTTATATTAACCAATCTGGATATGTGTTGGAGATCAGACACATTACTGGCAGCTCCTTTTGTGTGTTCAGTTGCTGCGGTGCTCGCTGAACTGATCAATTTGCTTGAAAATCTTTCATGGCCAGTGAATGGGAATAACAAGATTCTTGGTGGAGTTGGTGCAAGGCAACTCCAGATGTGGGTCTTACCAGCACTTTGGGAATCGTCAACAGTGCGCTTGCTGCCTGACACATGTGAAGCTCTAACCCGCAACTGGACTACTGCCAGTCAGCGGTTGAGAACTAGTAGCCAGAGGGAACCGACGCGACTAACTTACTTTATGCGATGTGGTGCCGTTCACTACCCACTGGCTGGCTTGTTACCGCCGTGCAGAAGACAGGATATCCTCTTTACTGAGCGACGGAATCTCCAAAGTTAGGCCGGCGACCAAGTTTTGATTTGAAAGGAATTTTAGTCTTCTACTGACTGGAGGAGAGAATTAGAAAAATTTGTATGTTTTACATGAGCAACAATGTCACATCTGTGAGCCTATCGACATCGATCATTACCGTACCCGTATCTCAGTGTCATAGCAACAAGTTGGTAATAGTCGACTTGCGGGTTCGTGCCTCATAGGGTTCATATGGACATAGTAATCATCTAATATGTGATTACTAATATATATATATATATTAGTAAGCATCTAGTACTCGGCTGTACTTGTACTGTTGTTTGAATGAGCTGAGATATGAAAAATTTCAATTCAGATATGCGATCGCATGCTACGCTGGCTGTTTTCTCTCTAATAGCGACTTAAACATACCGTAGTAATTCAGACAGAGTTACAGGTGATAGTATTCGCAAAGATGTCGTCTAGATATTGGCGCTAGTGAGCACATATTTTAAGCAATCTCTTGTGTTGGCTATAGTGATTAAAACAACTGTGCGCACACAAAACGCCTTTGATCTTGGATTTCGCAACATGTTTGTGCAAGTATAGTGTTTATGTTTTGACTGCCGGCAGCGATATTACTGTAAGCCCACACAATATTCCTGTTATCAACCTTCACTTAATGGATCCTGGGATTTCTGTGTGTATGTTTGCAGATGTCTAGCCAACACACACCGTTTTCATTCATGTGCAACCAGCCTACTACCGATTTATACTACAATCTATTTCGGCTTGCATGTCATTTCGCAATTTTAATCTCCACATTACAGGTATCCTGGATGTGGCATAACAAGTCAGTGCTGGCTGAACGGCACACGAGTTGCAATGTCCGGCTACAGTGTTGCTCATCAGCTGATCTATCTACTGATCGGCGCATCTGTAAGTGACTCATGTTTAAGTAGTGAATTGTGCTAACCGCGCACTAAGTTCTGTTGCTGTTGGCGTGAGAGCGCAGTGCTCTCGTCAAGAGGACCTTCAGGAAGAATGATGCAATCGGCCCTCCTGCCAATCGCCCCCATTCTTTTATTGGATATGGCCAAAAAACTCTCTATTGATTACATGCCTAACTCGAATTAGCCGGACGTTTCCGATTATATTTGAGGAAAAATATTGGGGTCAAAAGATAAAAGGAACATCTTTCTCACAGAACAGACCGTACCAACTGGTCTTGAAGACACTGAAAACAATTTTAATAGTGTTGCAAAACTTGTTCTACTTAAAATTTAACACTCGACATATCCACTTGTTAACACAGAATCAATCTTCGAGTTGCAACACAGCCGTGTTGTCTTGCACTGAGGAGTTACTTGACGCGTCGGTTAACATAACATCCCGGAACAAAATATTGCTATTCCAGGATGGACGTATCGGATTCAGACAAATGGATTATTTTTTATCCCACTTAAGCCATAAGCTCACTGATAAAATGTCAAAAGTGAACTGCTAACTAGCTGCAGCAGAATAAAGGCTTCGATTGACTGCATACCACAAAAACGGTTTCAAAACGAAGAGTTAGCTTAAACACAACAATGTGGCATATGCGAAAAGAAGCATATATTGTTAACATTTTGCATACTGCAAAGTAGCATGTATTGACATAAGAAAGCATGAGTTCATCCAAGTCAAATGTGACAAATCTGGGATTTACTAAAATTTACTCTACCATACCAGATTATCCTGAGTTGGTCCAGTTTTCGCGAAGCATAAATGAGTGGGAAATCATTAGAACGGGCAAACTTATCTGCGAGCATGATCAATCACTTCGAACGTTTGACCATCAGTGGGACCGATGAACTGCTCACTTGGCCTTTACTACGCATCTCAACCAAATTAGTTATTGGAACTCGTGTTTCCTAGCTCTAATTCTATAACTCTCAATCTACTGCTGCTTATGTGAGGTGCCTCGCAATCATAAACCAGGTGCTGACTACAGCCATATAGGAAAAATGTCAAATTCTGTGCATTCCTTTATCGAAAATAATAAATTTCATGAATAATAAAAAAGAAATCAGATCAAAAATGCGTGAAGAACATTTCTTTCGATAAATATCATCAGGCATTTTTAAGTATAGAGCAAAATTACAAAACCGATTGGCTAATGAAAGCTAGGTCTAAACTAGGAAGAACCATGAAATCCACACGATCTATTGGCTTCGCATGGTTGGCTATCCATCAATGTCTTAGTCAGTCGAACTACGCCGCTCGGACAAAACCCACACGGTAAGTGAGGGCACAGAGATCAGGTGTGACAAATGCTGATCGCCTGTCATGTTTTATTCGAGGAATTTTCGCCGGAGTGCGTTTATAGCCGTGGTAGGATCAAGGATTGCACCAGCTTCCGGTGTTTGCACAGTTCTGGTTTGAAAACCCTGATTGCAATGACTTTAGCTATTGTTAACAAACGTTTCTTAATTCCTTTCGAGTATCGTTTCGGGATGGTACATATGACTTTTGCATTAGTCTGGTGTCCTGTTTTAAACAAATGCTCAACTATCGAACTGCTGACGTTGCATACGGTGCCTTTTCGTAGCGAAACCGGACAGTGTTCGGTGATCCTTTTGGACAAGCGCCTGGTCGTATATCCGAGGTACTTTGTACCACAAGTGCAAGTGAATTGATATAGAATGAAAGATTCGGACCGGACCGGGAGGCCATATTACAGGCGCTGGGAAATCAGCAGTCTAGTTTCGGCTAGCAATTTAGGGTTGGGTGCTGCGAATGTCTGAGTCATTGCGGTGGACAGTTTTCTCCTCAACCGCTTAAAGGCGTATCCCCTTTACAATGAACTGCAAGAAAGACGTCCTTTTTCGGTACTGTAGTGACAGCGTTGATAGAATGGGGAGTGTGGACTGCTTTTTAATGAACTGGGGAGGATATCCACTCTCCTGCAATGTGCTGAGAATGAGCTGAGTTTCACTGTCCATCGTCTAACGAGTGCAAATGGCCCTGGCGCCATAAAAGATGCATCGGACTAACTCCCACTTGTATCTCAGTGGCACACAGCTGGGAAAGTGGGTGTATTGGCCTACCCATGTCACTTTTCGGAATCCGCTTCTTTCAATTGAAACATTCTCTAGATGGCGCAATAGAACGTCTAGGAAGGCCAGCTTTCCGTCCTTTTCAGTTGTTATGGTGAATTTTAATGAAGGGTGTACACAGTTAAATGCGTCTAGCATATCATTGCTATCGGTGGAAGCCGCATAGGCGATGAATGTATCGTCCACATATCGATAAGATTAATCAACTCGCGCGATCAGGTTGCTAAGTGGTCCACGCTGCATTTTCGTGACGAATATATCTGCCGATAGCAGGCCTTGGGGAGAGTTCACGGCAGCCCCAACTACCTGACGGTAGTAAATTACATCAAATAAATACTGTAGGTTGAGAGTACATCGTATGAACAATTCTTTCAGCTTTTGCACAACTATACCAACCTTCAAGTTCTTTCAGTGAGATAATCCCAAATAGATTTCACTGGTTCTAACGGTGGTACGTTAGTGAAGGATGATTCTGCATCAAAGGAAAACATCACTTTATCACCCATATTTAAATCTTCCACTCGCTTAATAAAATCGAATGCGTCTGTCACAGTATAGATAATTCTTTACGTACCAGTTCAAGCAACTTCGTTATTCTCTTGGCGACTGGATGAAAGTCGGAAGACAACATCTCTATTATTGCTCGAACGGGAACGTTGGCTTTACGTACCTTAGGCAGTCCGTGTAGTCGTGTAGAATGTGAGCCACATGAAACCAGCCATATGAAAGCGAATTGTCTAGCTGTTTCGCCTCTTTCAACTCCTTCAAAATGTTAGCGATTTAGTTTCCTCATGCGAAGTCGCCACTATCGGCAATGCATCCCAATGGAACTTACTGTTGTCACTCCGAATCGTCTGCCATTTGGAGATATAACTCGACTTTTTTATCAGTACCAAGCCAGACCCTTTATCCGGTCAAGAAATGGCCAGCTCTGTGTTGGACATCTGTTTTTTGATCGCTTTTCGATGTTTTCACCTTAGGATGCCAGATGTTTCAGACTTAGAGTCCCGAAACTGCTGTGAGAGATGTACCAGTGTGGCCTTAAATGTGTAGTTTTCAAGTGGAGATAAAGGTGTTAATTCCACTAGTTGGTGCACAAACTTCTTAACTGAGTCTCTAAATGAACTTGTCCCCTGTTCAGTTGGGGGAAGCAAAAGTTTTGCTCATGGACAATGCTTTTAGTTGCAAGTGGTTCAATTGCATGCCAGACTTGTTGTGCACATATTTCTCTGGGTTGATCGGAAACTTAGACTCTAGGGAACATGCCTCCAAATCCTTTGGCAACTTGGAGCATCGCCTTTTCATTGTTTTATCGCATATGGTTTGAGTATAAATGTCATCCACACACACGCTTGAGGTGCGTGATTCTGGTTCATTTGGTTTATTCCTCTCCAAATTCTCGCAGCGTTGTCACTGTAAGCTCATTCTTACCGGATTTATAAGCCCTACACAGTGATCCAGCAAACGTGGAATTATCTTCTACGATTAAAGTCCGTGAAATAACTAACGGTTCTCACTGGCATCCGTGATTAAGCGCAAGCGGTTAACTCAATCACATTGAGCCGATTGACTTTCTGTATGAGAGCATTCGATACCGATTTCTAGAGGCAATCCGAAAAGCTAAGCATATTCCGATCAGGCGTTTCTCAAGGCTGCTGTGAAAGAATTTGTTATCTCTCAATCGGTGTTCAGCGCTGTGTTCAGGTTCAATTAGCAGGTTCCAGTCAGTTACCATTACTTGTGAACTTGTCAGGCAGTGCGCCCGCACAACGCATCATACGGACCGCGCGACCATGCCGACTGCTCATTTGAACTTGCAACCACAACGCTCGCCTGACCGACGTGCGCCGCTCTCAAAGCTGGAAATGTACAGAACGCTAAGCAACCAACTGGGTCAAGTAACGACACCACGATGAATGACAGAAATGCGAAAAAGAAAAGTCTCCAAGCGAAAGACATTTGCGGGTTATAACATTGTCACCGATTAGTTACAATAGGTATGGATTACTCGCACTGTTTGGAATGGTATCATCCGCAATGTGCAAATGTGTCCCAACAACGTGTGCAAGAGCGAAGTAGCTTTCAAAATGCGCTTTGGTTATGTACTGCGTGCTCCACCATCCAACACTTTAAGTGCTTGCTTATCCTAGTTCAGAAGTGCGACCGGTAACCCGCAAAAGCCGAGCTGATGATAAACAATAAGATTACTTCAATGGAAGCGAGTATGCGGCTTTAAGCAACGGAATGCTGCACAATCTGTTTCCTCTGAACCTTAATCAGCCACGTTCTCAGCTCCGTTTTCTTTTCCAACTTTGGTGGAAAGCCGGGCGAAAACTGACCGTACCTATGACAGTCAACCAGTAGTCACGGCAACGAAAATCAGGCACCACTCGAAACGTCTGGTTAAGCGACTTGCAATAGACCTGACATCTAGCATTAACAAGGATGAAGCAACCGAATATCAACCCTCTGTATCTGTAGCTCAAATGTTTCTTGTCGAGACGAAGCCCTCCGGAACGTCAATTACATATGCAGAGATTGCTGCAAAGGTAAGTCGGGTGGCGGCATTTGCGCTCCGTTCTGTGATAAACACCCTTCATGTGAATAGAGGAACAAGCAGCAAACAATAAACATTTGTCGGTAGGTCAGGACAAAGGAGTACCATTTCTTGTAGATCAACACAAATGGGATCCAAAAATAGTGCCCGGACTGTTGTTTGCTCAAATGTTACTGAATCTACCGCCGTCACCTAGCGGGGTAAGTTATCGGACGACCAAGAACAACGAAACTCATTGTGCGTGCAGACGAGTTCCAAAGCCAAGCCCATTAACCTTTTACGAA